GGAAACATCAGGCCCACCCTGGTCTTGAGACAGATCTACAGTCGGCCTTTCTAGATGGGACAAGACACATCATGGGAGTGCACCAGAGTTGAGTACAGTCAGTGGCACCATGACCTTCTATAGACAGTTCTATGCTTTTCCTTTGCACAGAACAGTACCTTACACACTGGATAAGAGTAGTCTGGGTCACCACTCTCCTACTGATGAAGAAACTGAGGCCCAAGAAACCAAGGACTTGCTCAACTCGTGGCACCTGAAACTATGTTTTTAGCAGCTGTGTTGTGAGCACCCACACATCCTGTAATTTTCCTGAGAACAATATTTAACTTCTACAGAAGACACCCACAGAAACATCACAATTTCTTCACTGATGGATTGAAGTTTAGAAAAGACTTCAATCCACCCCGGTTCCCAATTGCATCATGCAGCTCTCTCTCCTTGCAGCTGCTCAGACTCAGGATGAGATATTATTGAGGCAAGGCCCACTCCACCTTAACTGACATAACTGAGACCAGGTAACCAGGCAGGTGTAGAGAGCAATCCTTTGTGTTCCTTGGTCCTGCAAGAGGCATTGAGCTGGGGCCAGTGATGCATGATCCACAACTCAGACAACATGATGTCATCAGGAAGCATGAGAGCAGGAGGAGAAGACAATCTGTGCCTCTGTGAAACAGAGTGACAGTGGCTCTGTGACAATGAGTCAGGTTGTGAAGTATGGACAGCACATCAGGTCAGAGTACACAGCCCTAAGCCCATAGCTTCTCTGTCCCCTTTTCAGATTCCCAATGCCAGCATGGTTCATGATCAAAGTTTGGCTCAGATGGCCCATATATCCTGATTTTCTGATCAACCATGGGGATATGGGCTACTCTGCAGCTGGACCCATGCATTCAATCACAAGTTCTCCTAGATGAGTGGAGGGTCTCTACACAGTCTCTAGACCTCATACACCTTGACCAATGCAGTTGACCATGATGGGTCCTAGACATGTAACTCTGGGCTTATTTGTGCTTTCCACCACCTGTTCCAACTCAGTATTAATGGAAGACACTTACTGCATTCACTTTCTGTCACTTATAACCTGTTGTATACACACACTGTGTGCATTTGTGTGTGTGTGTGTGTGTGTGTGTGTGTGTGTGTGTGTGTATGTATGTTTGTTGTGGGAATGAACCAGGGCCTCACTCATGCAAGGCAAGCAATGTACACTTAGCCACATCCAGGACCTGTTTTTTAATCATTATGGAGGGAGCAGATGCCAGTACTCTTTTCCACCAATTAGGGTGGAACATGCAGAGTAATGGATCAAGGATGTCATTTAAATGAACCCTCATTTAGTATTTTCTTCTCTCTGCAAGATGTGGAAGAAGAAATGCAGACCCTGGCTTAAAATAAGCAGCTGGAGCCTGTGGCATGTAATACCTATCATAGGAAATGAGCAGGACCTAAAGCCTTTTTTGGCCAAACAAGGAATGGGGTCTTCCTTTAGCACCAGGGGATGTGCTGTTGCTGCAGAGCCTGAGGCATCTGAGAACAGTGAGCTTCCTTTGGTGATGCTGGTGGTGGGGAATGGCAGAACATGAAGGAGAGTACAGGAAGGCCACTTGGATGAGGACAGTGGCAAATCAAGAGCTGTGAAAGGAATATGCAAGAAATCACCTACTCCATCAAAATACCAAACCTGAGAATCATGAGTATTGAAGAAGGAGAAGAGGTCCAAGCCAAAGGGATTCATAATATAGTCAATAAAATAATATCAGAACATTTCCCAAGTCTTCAGAAAGTATTGCCATTTCAGGTACAGGAAACCTAAAGGACACCAAACAGATTTGAACAAAATAAAACCTTTCCACAGCATGTTAAACAATAAGCACAGTGAATAGAGAAATACTAAAGACTGAAAGAGAGAAAAAACCAAAATTTAAAGGTAAACCCACAAAATCACAGCAGATTTCTCAATGGAAACCATAAGCATGAAGGGCATGGAGTGAGGTATTTCAGGCACTGAATGAAAATAACTTCAACCTAGAATACTCTACCCAGCAAAACTACCATTCAAAATCGATGGAGCAAAAAAAAATCTTCTACAATAAGCAGAAACTAAAACAATATATGACCACTAAGCCACCACTACAAAAGGGTATCCTAGAAATTCTGCACACAGAAGATGAAAGCAAACAAAACCATGAGAGGATGAGAAGTATCAAAAGCACACAAGGGAGAGGTGAGGATAGGTAAGACACCTAAAAAAATGAGCTAGCATTTGTTGCCCTCAACGTAGAGAAACTAAAGCAGATACCTTAAAAGCAACTGAGGCCAACAGGAGAAGGGGACCAGGAACTAGAGGAAAGTTTAGATCAAAAAGAATTAACCTAGAAGGTAACACAAATGCACAGGAAATCAATGTGAGTCAATGCCCTGTATAGCTATCCTTATCTCAACTAGCAAAAACCCTTGGTCCTTTCTATTATTGCTTATACTCTCTCTTCAACAAAATTAGAGATAAGGGCAAAATAGTTTTGCCAGGTATTGAGGGGGTTGGGGGGAGAGGGAGGGGGTCGAGTGGTGGTAATGGAGGGGGTAGGGGGAGGGGGAGAAATGACCCAAGCATTACATGCACATATGAATAATAAAACAAGAAAAATTTAAAAATAAATCACAGGAGAAGGAAAGACAAGGAATCAGAGAGTAGGACTGATTCAGCTGCACACAACAGACACTTAAACAACAAAAACTACTAAATAGGATGAATCGTGACATACATATCAATATTAACACTGAATCTAAATGAACTCAAATTCCCCATCAAAAGACACAGCTTGGCAAACTGGGTTAAAAAGGAGACCCATCTCATTGACAGAAACAAACACTGGCTCATTGTGAAAGGCTGGAAGAAGATTTACCAAGCCAATGGCCCCAAAAACAGGCGGGAGTAGCAATACTTATCTCGGACAAAGTAGACTTCAAACTTACATTGATCAAACAAGATAAAGAAGACTCTACATACTAATAAATGAGGAAGTACACCATATCAAATAACAACTATCAACCTATATGCATCAAATGTAAGTAGAATTTCATCAAAAATGCACCCAATGTCAGTACAATTTCATCAAACATACTCTAAAGGACTTAAAAGCACATGTAGACTCCAACACAGTGGTAGCAGGAGATTTTAATACCCCCTATCACCAACAGATAGATAGGTCATCCAAACAAAAACTCAATAAAGAAATTCTAGAACTAAATCACACCATAGAACAAGTGGATCTAACTACTGTCTACAGAATTGTTCATCCAACATCTGCACAATATACTTTCTTCTCAGCCAGTGAAACTTTCTCCAAGACTGATCATATCTTAGGGCACAAAGCAAGCTTCAGCAAATATAGGAAAAGAGAAATAATTCCATGCATTAAATCTGATGCATTAAAACTAGAACTCAAAACAAAAATAACAGAAGAAAACGCACAAACAATTGGAAGCTGAATAACACATTGCTCAATGATCAGTGGGTTATAGATGAAATTAAAAGTTTCCTGGAAGTTAATGGAAATGAAAACATTACCAGAACCTATGAGACACAGCAAAGGCAGTCAGTTTATAGCCATGGGTGCATATATTAAAAGGACAGAAAGATCTCAAATAAATGACCTAATCCTACATCTCAAACTCCTAGAACAATAAGAACAAGCAAAACCCAAATCAAGTAGGAGATAAATATTAAAAATTAGAGCTGAAATTAATGAAACAGAAACCAAAAAACATACAAAGAATCAACAAAACAAAAGCTGGTTCTTTGAGAAAATAAACAAGTTTGACAGACTTCTGGCAAACCTGACTAAAATGAGGTGAGAAAAAAACACTAATCAGCAAAATCAGAAATGCAAACGAGGAGATAACTACAAACACTTTTGAGAATTCACTTATCCATTGTATTCTTTATCTATAAAAGGTGTGTAATCATTGCCTTCACAATGCTAAAAACAAGGATAGATCTCAATTTAGATATCTCAATTGCATAAAGGAATTACTTATTCAACCTGTAGTCCAGGCAATATATTTAAGAAAACATAGACAGGAACAGGAATTCTTAATCAGAGATGCAAGGAGGCATAATGTAATTTTTCTCTTTTCTGATAGTGGCAAACCTTACATTGAACCAAAAAATTATACCATAATTTCTGAATTTCTTTTTCTGGGATTTTCACAAAAACAAGACCTTCAGTCTTTCATATATGGACTGATCCTGTCCATGTACCTGGTCCCTGTGCCTGGGAACCATCTCATCATCCTGGCCTTGATTTCAGACTCTCATCCACATACATCCATGTACTTCTTCTCCAATTTGTCCTTTGTGGTCTTCTGCTTCACCTCCAACAATGTCCCAAAGATGCTTGTAAGCATCCAGACACAGAGCAAGGTCATATTTTATGAGTACTGCATCAGCCAGATGTATTTTTCTGCATTATTTGTATATTTGGACAACTTTATCCTGGTTGTAATGGACTATGACCATTTTGTGGCCATCTGTCACATCCTCCACTTCATGGTCATCATAGACAACCAGCTCTGTATTTCTGGTGGTGGTGTCCTGGATCACAAGTGCCCTGAATTCCTTGTTACTCAGCCCCATGGTACTGCAGCTGTCTTGTACAGTGATGGAAATCTCTCACTATTTCTATGAACCTAATCAATTGTTTCAACTTGCGTGTTCTAACACATTTCTTATTAATATGGTGATGTAAATAACAGGTATGCTGCTGGCTATTTGTCCCCTAAGTGGCATCCTGAATTCCTAATCCAAGATCATGTCCTTTATCTTTGTCATCTCATAAGATCAGGGGAAATACAAAGCATTTTCCACTTGTGTGCCTCACCTCCTAGGTGTCTCCTTATTTTATTACACTAGCTTAAGTGTGTACCTCAATTCTTCTGTGACTCAAAACTCCCAGTCAACTATAAAAGCATCAGTGATGTACAGCATCATCACATCCATGCTAAACTTCTTCATCCACAGCCTAAGGAATGCAGATATCAAGAGGTCTTTGAAAAATGTCTTTGACAGAGAAACTGTAAAAACCGTCATTGACTTAATCCTGCAAAAGCACTGTTCAGCAAAAGGTTGCAAGCCTCAGAACAAGAAATTACCATCATTTGATCAGACATGGAAGTAATTCTTGTTTCTTGCACTTATTTTTAGAAGTTTCTGTTTCTTTGATTTCAACATTTCTATACAAGTCATCCAAAACATCTTGTAAGAATTCTGCTTCCTCTGCCATCAAACAGAGTACACTTTATCAATCTGATACTTTCTTAAAGTCATTTCACTAAGGTATTGGTAATATCAGAATTTCTTTTTATTATACACAGCATGAATTTTTTTACACTTTTATTGTCATATGTTAGTTTACAGGGAGGTTATTTATGAAATGTTTCTGTGTGCAATGTGCCTTGATCAGATTAACCACATCCATCATTCTTCTGCATCCTCCTCCTCCCCTATTAAGACAATTTCAGCAGATTTAATTGTTGTATTCATATAACTGTACAAATATACAAAGATCATCAACCACATTCATCCTCCATCCTCTCTATTCACCTCCTTCCCCACTCCAACTACTACCCACCCCTAATAGGTCGTGTTATGCATTCCTGTCTTGCACTTTTAAAGTGTATATTCATGCTCATGGGGCCTTCCCATGATATTTCACCCATGAATATATTGTAATTTAAACAGATTAACTACCTCTGTTGCTCTCCTTTTTCCTACTATCACGTACATTTTCCCTACCTTTTCCCCACTATCACATAAGATTCAACAGCTTTCAGTGCATTTTTCCTGTGTAGGAAGACAATGCATACACAGATCCAATGTATTTCATTATTATTCACCCTATAATTCTCTTCTCTTCTCTTGCCAGCCTCTTGTCCCTTTGATCAGTCCCACTGTTACAAATGAACAACATGGATTTCTTGAGAATAATTTCTGATCACTTACATTATATCCTATTGAGTTTTTGTCCATTGTTTATTATAAAATACATGGTTGTGTTTTATTCTTTGTATAAAAAAGTAATAAAAGCCATCTATATAATTTTATAATTAAGGAAAGTCTGACACTACACTTTTTCCCTTGTGGGTCCATCTTCCCTTCATGCATCATGATCTTACACGGTCTTTTTGACATTGTAGGGTTTTAACAGTCTAGGGTGTTTTACAACAGATGGCTGGCTTTTCTTATCATCAGGATTCTATTTTTATTCAGTTGCTATGCATCATAGCTACAATACTCACTGTAAAAAACTGATTATCAAATAATGTCTACATGCAGACATTTTGAACTAATATACTGATTCATTTGACCTCAGTATGAAGAACTGAAGTAGAAAGAGTTAAAGGTCTATCTTAAATATTGAATTGCTATGAAAGATATTTCCTTTTTATACTACAAATACAATCACTGAGATGTTGAAAATTCTGTTCAATTGTAATGGGGTTTACTTGTTGAAGATTTGTTGCCATATTTCCATACTTTATGTTTTATTATTGAATTGTCTTCTTTAAATTCAATTATATCAAATAAACTTGAACAACATAGTAACTGTTAGTGTTGTCTTTTGCTTTCTCTTTTTTGTTTTGGTGGGACTAGGGTTTGAATGCCAGGCTTCACATTCATAATGCAGGAAATTTCTGAATTAAATGACATTACAGATCAAATGGATTCAATAAAATATGTAGAATATTCTACTCAACCACCATAAAGATACATACTTCTCAATAGCACATGAAATATTCTCCAAAAAATCAAATATCACAACGTAAATTAAGTCTTAACAAATACAAGGAAACTGAAATGATTTCTTGTATTTTGTCAGACCACAATGGAATAAAACTAGAAATCAATTACAAGAGAAACTACAGGAAATAACCAAAAATATGGAGACTGAACAAGTCACTGTTGAATGATCAGTGGGTCACTGAACAAATAATGGTTGAAGTACAAAAATTCAGAGAATCAAATGAGAATGATAAAACCATTTTACCACAACCTTTGGTCCATAGATAAAGCAATGCTAAGAGGAAACTTTACAGGTATAATTGTCTTCATTAGAAAATGAGAAAGAGCCTATGTAAACATAACAATGCATATCATGCTCTTCGAAAAAGAAGAATAAACTAAACACAAATGCAGTAGATGGAAGGAAAAAAATGAAATGGAGATTAGAAGAAAGAAAGACAACATAATTCCAGCTAGCTACTTAGTAGTTGTATGCTGGGAGGATCATTGTTTTAGGCCAGTCCAGGCAAAATGTTAGTCAGATCCCATCTCAACCAATAAGCCAGGTGTAGTGGTTCACAACTGTGTTACCAGCTAGATCCCAACACAAAACCATAGTGTAAAAGAACAAAGCAAAAATGGACTAGGGTATGACTCACGTGATAGAGCACCTGCCTAATAAGTGCAAGGTTCTGAGTTCAAACCCCAGGACCACCAAAAAAAAAGTAAATGAACAATAACAAATGCTGGTAAGGATGAAGGGAAAAAGGACCCCTCATAGACTGTTGTTGAGAATGTAAATTAATGCAGTAGCTATGCAATTAGTATTAAGGGTATTTGAAAAACTAAAAACAAAAACTACACTATGATCATCCTATTGGGCATCTATCCAAAGCAATGTAAATCAACATACGATAGATATTTACATATACCCATGTTTATTGCAGCACCATTCACAGATGTTAAACTATGTAAACAGCCTAAGTGTCCATCAGCTGTTGAATGGATAAGGGAAATATGGTGTATATAAACACCAGAGTATTTCATCAATAAAGAAGAATAAATTTATGTAATTTGTAGAAAAATGGGTGGAACTGGAAATCATATTAAGTGAAATAAGGCAGACTGAGAAAGACAAACATCACATATAACAATTTAGAACCAAAAGAATAAAAAATGACAAGAGTTTAAAGCACAAGACTGTTTGGGGTGAGAAGCAGGATGGTGGGGGACGTTAAAAGGAGGGGTGAAAGAAGTGAATATGATTAAAGTATTTCATATGTAAGTATGAAAATAGAATAATGAAATGCACTGAAATATTTTGAAAATGGAGAAGGTTGTATTACAAAATAGTTGAGGGGAGGAATTTGATTGAAATACATTATATGCATGCAAAGAAATGTCACATTGAAGCCACTTTATATGATTAAAACATTAAAAAATGCAATACACACCTCACAATAAGCAAAGAGATGTAGACCAGATGAATGAAATAATAAGCAAGATCCAACTACTTGCTGTGTTGTATTTGGGTTTCTCTGCCTTGTTTCTTTAATTTGACATTATGCCTTCTACTTACTTCCATCTTTCTGCAAATGGCATTATTTAATTGTATGGTGGATAATATTCTATCTTTTATATGTAACATATTTCTTTTTCCATGGATCCTTAAATGAACAGCCAGGTTGACTCCATATCATGGATATTATGAATAATCCTGAAATAATGAAGAAAATATATGTTTCTTTTCAGTACACTGGCTTTTCATTCTTTAGATTTACACTGGGGAGTGGGGATTGCTAGATCATATGATTGGTCTAACTTTAATGTTTTTAGTAGCTGCCATATTGTTTCATAAAATAACTGTATAAATTTACATTCCACCAGTATTGTATATGGGTTCATTTTACCCTCATCCAAAGACCATTTTAAAAACATATAGGGTAATTGTCATGCAAATAGGATGATGTGGTACCTCACTGTGGTTTTGATTTGTACTTTCCTAATGAATTGTCATCTTGAGCAATTTTAATGTGTATTTTGTGCATACATATCTTGTTTTGAGAAATGTCTATTAGTCATTTACTTGTTTTTAATTAAAATTATTTATTTAATTTAATTTTGCTGATGAGTTTTTCAGACTTTTATATTCTGAATATGAATCCCTTACTATATTAATTGTTTGCAATTATTCTCTCTTTGCATGTTGTATTTTCCCTTTATTGATAGTTTCCTGTGGAGTACAGATTTTTAGTTTGGTGTAAACTTAGGTTTTTAGTTTTCATTCTATTGCTCATACTTTTGGGGTCCTATTGAAGAAACTCTTTGCATGTGCTTACTTCCTGGCATGTTTTCCTTAAATTTTCTCCTAATTAATTGAAATTTTTAGATCTTATAATTGAATCTTTCATTTCTAAGAGTTTACTTTAGTGTATTATTAGACATATGGGTTCAGTCTCTTGGTTATATAGTTTTTCTAGCACTATTTATTAAAGTTATTTTTTCTTTCTCCAACATATATTCCTTTTGTTATGCTTTTATTAGAGTATATTAATTGTACAAAAAGGGTTTCATTGTGATATTTCTATATATATATATATATATATATAATGTACTTTGAAACTATTAGTCTCCTCTATCGCATATCCTTATGCCCCCTGCCCAACTTTCTTACTTTAATTTTTATGTGAGATTCAGTATAAACTTATCACATATAGATATCATAGACTTCAATCTAATTCTCTTCGCCATGTCTGTTTCCCTCACACCTCCCATGACTTAACCGTCCCTTTTGTGTTGCCACTTTTGTGTTCATGTCCCTATTTCCCTTTACACCTTTACTCTGCATATAAGAGAAAACAACTGCTAGTGTTCTTTCTGAGTTTTTGGTTCTTGAGACAAATGACTATTAATTTGTTATTCAATGCAATGTACTGTGCATGGACTTTGGATCCATTTAATATAAAATATTGTCTAAGTCCATATTTTCTTGTTACTTTTCTGTCTGGGTGATATTTAAGTAGTACATAAAGTCCCTTATTATTATAGCATTGCAATGTGCCTGAACCTTCAGATCCTCTCTCCTGCAGATATTTCTTTATATGGAACCCAAAAAACAAAATGTGACTTCCACTATTTTTCCTGGAGTTTCTGATAGACCAGAGATTAACTCTCTTCTCTTTGTTTTGTTCTAATACTGTACATGAACACCATCTTTGAGAACCTGCTTATCATCCTATCTATTATCTCAAATCTCCACCTGTACACATTCGTGTATTTCTCACTAATCTGTCCTCTGACAACTGTTTCACTTCTACAACCATCCCAAAATGGTATTAAATATTCAGACATAGAACAATGCCATCATCTATCAATGCGGGGTAAATGAACCAGGTATACTTTTTGGACTTTTTACTTCTATATGTGATGACCTATGTTCACTTTGTGGCCACTTGTCATTTCCTATTCTACACCATCCTCATGAACTCTAGACTCTGTGTCCAGTTATTCCTGACCTGGGTCATCAGCCTCCTGGAGACTCTTTCTGGGAGATTAAATACACTGATATTTTCTGTCTATTGAGTTGTAGAAGTCACAGAGTATTTGTATAAACTTCCTGAGTTCCTTAGGTGTGCACGCTCTGATGCCTTCATCAATTTTGTCATATGATGTGATGTGATGATCATCATGGGTTTCTCTCTCTGTACATGATCCTTTAGTCTTATTCTTAAATTGTCCATTCTGTCCTGTGGATTTCAACAATGAGAAGGAGGTTTACAGCATTTTCTACCAGTAGTGCTCATCTCTTCCTTGTCTTCCTGTTCTATGGAGGAGCCTGCCTGGGACTATACATTCACATCTTAGACAGAGGTACTTGCTTCTACCTTGTACACCATGGTCACTTACCTGATGAACCCCTTCATCTACAGCCTGAAGACCAAGGACACAAAGAGTGCTTCTATGCTGACTGTTGTTCTCTTGGTGACAATCATTCTGATGCTGTGCCTGAAAGTATGATTAAAGGCAATGGAAAAGAGTAATAATAGATTGGTCTCAGAGGCTTCTCTGACTAGATTCACATCTTAATGCTTCACTGACTGTACTTAGTGGCAATTTGCTATACTTTTTATTAAGTATGTCATCAAGTTATATGCCTATATTCTATTTTTACTTTCCAGTTTGTAGGAGAAATCAAGTCTTTATCAGATATACTCATGTGCCTATGATCTTTTTGTATTCAAAGATATCCTTTTCCATTATATTCATTGGTCATTGGATGTGCAAACTTACAAAATTCTGGTTAAGTCATTTCTAAGAAAATTATCATTCCTCCTGTAGGTCAGAATTAAATTAGGATACGTAACACATTAGTTTTCTAAATGTGTTAACATTTAATTAGCACATAATTGTTGCACATGGCTTGAGCAGCATGCTGTGGTATTTTAAAACATGTACACACTGTGTGCTGACCAAATCAGAGTACTTAGCATTTCCATATCCTTATCATTACATTTTATTTGGATCTTTAAGCTCCTCTCTTCTAGTTATTCATAAAATATGTAATAACTTTTGTGAAGCACAGTTATACCTCTGTGCTATAGAAAACTTGAGTTTATTGCTTCTACCTTTTTGTTTTGGTGATGCTCAGTTATAAACGTAGGGCTTTGTACCCTAGACAATTACTGTACCATTTAAATCATACCTCCAGCCTGCTTTTTGCTCTGGTAATTTTGGAGATAAGGTGTTGCTTTTTTCAGGGCTTGCTTCTAACCACAAGCCTACCAATCTCAGTCTCTTGGATAGCATGTGATGATAGGCACATGCTCTCATGCTCAGTGATAGAGATGGGGTTTTGCAAACATTTTTCCTGGGCTGGGCACAGACAATGAGCCTCTCAATCTCAACCTCCTAACAGCTAGGATTACAGGCATAGTACCAGGTTGTTAAGTGGGTTTTGTTACCTCTTGCTTGTTTTCCTTCCACATAACACTGCCCAGTCAGTTTTAATTCCTATATATATGTCATCTGGAAATGCAGACTTCAATAGGATCATATACTGTCCCACAAACTGGTAGAGAACTATTAAATATTTTTAAACAACATAAAATGTGTGTATGGTTCAGCTTTGCTGGGACAACAAACAATGACACAAATTAGAATGCTTTTGTATAAAGGAAAGTCAGTCCCCACTAGATGACATATAGAAATTCACACTATGTGGCTATGTTCCAGCTGTGCTTTGTCCATGTGGGTCAGTGATCTGGAAACATGACAGAAACAACCCTGTTGAGACTTGTCTATACTCCTAACAGAGAGGAAGGCAACAGACAGAGTAGAATCTCAGAATGCATCTTAAAGTTTATTCTTACACAGCAAGCATAACACATCTGCCACATTTTCTCAAGCAGTGTATATCAATTGTGATATTATTTAGGGATATCCACAGAAATAGAATTAACAGAAGATAAATAGATAGATGGAGAAAGATGTAGATATACACATAAAATGCACTAAAATACTGATTTACGTGATCCCAGAGGCTGATTCTTCATACAATGGATGTCTGAAGCTGGAGATGCAGATAAATTAATCATGTTATTCAGTCTAAAAAGTTGGAAGATTCTGGAAAAAGAAGATATTGAGGCAGATCTCAGTGTAAGACAGTAGGAAAGAGGAGCAGTTGGTGCAAGTCACAGAGTCCAAAGGCTGAAGAGACAAGTGTCCAACTTCTGAGGGAAGGATCAGCAAATAATGTCCTTTTATAAAAAGAAGAATTAGAGAGAGAGAGAGAGAAAGGGAGAGAGAGAGAGAGAGAAAGAGAAAGAGAGACAGAGACAGAGACAGAGACAGAGAGAGACTTCTCTCTTCCCTCTTTTTGTTCCATCACAGCCCAAAGAAAATTGGATGGGGTTGTGCATATTCAGGTGGGTTTTCCTGAGTTTCTCAACTCACATTCCAATCTTCTCTGGAAAAAACATTCCCATAATCACTGAGACATGACGAATTGCCACTTTTCTAGTCATCTCTCAGTTCTCTCAATTGACACACAAAATTACCACCCACAGTTCAAGGTCAAAATACCATGGAAATACATGTACTCTTGTCATATGAAGAACAATCTGACCTATTGCTAAGGATTGCAGTTACCCTGCACAGAAAGTAAGACTGATATAAATTCTAGATGGGGCAGAGAGACAGACAAGCATTTCTTCCTTCTGTTGACATTAAAAGTTCATGAATTACATGCTGTGGATTTGCAAGGAGGAAGTTAAGAAGAATGGTAGGAAGCATTTAATACAGTGAGAAACACAAACTTTATAGCTATTTCCAAGAGAAGAATATTGTGAACCAGCTTAATGAACTCTAAAAAATTGTAATGTGCCTATTTGGACAATGCTTGAGAGGGTCACTGATAATGCCCATGAGTTCAGCATGGCATAGAATGATGGACTCTCAAGCTTCTTTCTAGACTTTGGGTTGATGCCACCTAGGCCTTGAAAGGATGATTCATAGGTCCTGGGAGAATGACCCCTCCCTCATCACCACTGCATCCTCACTGGGACATTCAAAAACTAGACACACTGTCCCAAGAAAGCTTTATAATGTCACAATGAACTTAGAAAGTGAAGACGGAGTGATTGTCACAATCACTTCTATCTATTGAGCATGTGATATATGTCACAGCATTTGCTGTCAGCATTGAAGCATTAGTTAGCTCACACATGAACTTCATTAAGGAGGTGGAATTGCCTAGGTTGATACTTAAGGAGCTAAGGTCTATAAGTTTGTTTTCTGTCATGAGAGAAGTTTTGAGAGGCAAATGAAAACTTGTTTAGACAAAGACTGAGTTATGGAATCCAAAATCTGACCACCTAAAACAGAAATGAGTGAGGTAGAAGCATTCTTTGTGCATATGACTTCAATACAATCTACACTTTAACCCTTGTTTATAGTTCTTTTACTCAAAAATGGAACTACCATGTTCTCACCACTACCAGTATTGAGTACTCATTGAGAAATGAAAAGTGTATCCAACAGGTATTTTCTCATTTACATTCAATGCATCATTCTTCAAAATAGTGAAGATAATTTAATTCTCTTAGATGTCCATCAAACAAATGGATGGATAAAGAAAATGAGGCACAAGAAAGACATAATGAAAAAAAGAAAGGAAGGAAGGAAGGAGAGGAGGCAGAAAGAAAGAATGAAAACAATGACATATGATTCAACTTTCAAATCTATGAAGGTCTCTAGTTTTCAACAACATACATGGAATTGGGAGAAATCAGTTTAAATTAGACAAACACAGAAAGAAAAATGTTACATTATATCTCTCATATGTTGAACCCAAAATGTTTATTTCATAGAAGGAAGGAATAAATGATGGTTACAAGTGTCTGCAGAGATATTGGTCACAGATACACATTTACAATGGGATATAAAGAACGAAGCAAGGGATTTGCCCTAGAATGTGGTTGTAGCTAATAATATCTTATATTTTTAAAAATCACTAAGAGAAGAAATTAAATACCTTTACTGCAAAAATACTAGCAATACAAGTTAACTCTTGTTTTAATTAACCATATCTACTTGTATCCCAATGTATATGAACTTCAGAACACTTTGTAGCACACTATAAATCAATATAATTTCATCTACCAATTAAAAAAAGAGTGGGCCACTAACTGCTAAATGCAGCCTCAATATCACTTGGGAAGTGGGTACAAATGCAAAATATCTGAGCCACCTTGAAGCTGAAAAATCATTATGTGAATTTGAACAAGATTCCCAAGTGATCCACATTTCCATTAAGCCCCAATTGTGATATTTGTGCTGGATGACATTTTGCAGTGAAATGTGCTGTGCATCTTAAAATGTTTAGCAGCATCTCTATCTTTGATCCAGTAGAGGCAGCACCACCTCCCCAGGTGTAGCATGTGGTGTTTTCTGTAGACATTCCAAAGTGTTTCCCAGGAACCTGATTGCCCAGGTGGAGGACAATTGAACTAGAGACTGAGAACTGAGACATCCTGATAGAGTTTCAACAAAGACTTTCCTTACTTAGTTCCTAATTGTGAGAAGATCATTGAACCTCATTTCTCCATGAGGAAAATGTGTCCCTAGTAGTATTTAAATTATATAAAGGACATGCATGAAATTAAACATGACTACCCTTCTCATATTCTACCATCAGTTCATAATGCATAAAAATGTAAAAATTTGTCCGTTCATTTCTTAAATTCTCAATATATGAAAATGTAAATGAAATTTAGTAACTGTGTTCCAATCATAAATTCCACTTGTGCTTGATAAAACATCCCTCAAAAGCAATGGTTGTGGTAATGTGTCACCATTTTGTCACAAATGTCTATAGCTCTCTCCCATTAATTGGGAATAGCAATTATCTGAATCTTTCATGAATCTTGGCCTCTCTACAAGTCAGAGATTTGGTTTTCCATGAACTCTAATAAACTCAGGTTTTTTGGATGTTGGAGAATACTGAAAGTAATGATTGGGCAGAACTGCTAAGGGGGTCAGACTTCTGGAAGGCAGAAGAATAACAGAGAAGGACAATTAAGACTGGACTCACCTGTTTGCTAACCTTATCTCTTGGGAATATAGCATAAATTGGTATGTTCGTTTCTGTTCAGCCCAATGTTCCTTGGAGAAACCATGTGCTCAGATGTTAGTGTAAGAAGACGAAATATACCATCGTGGGCTGGAGATGGTGGTTCCTTTTGGAGACCAAAGTCTAGTTATGGAATGAGTGCCTCACTTTCTCTTGCTGTCCTATGTTCTATGTTGGCCAGATCTTCAGTCTCCATCAGCCATCATGCAGTGATGAATGCAAACTTCTATAGTGAGTCCTTCTTCTCCAAGACCCATTCAGAACTTAGAACTCACATCTAGCCTCAGCAGCTGAAGGACAGTCTAACAAGAAAGAAATTATTTTTTCCAGAAATGTCATATTTCCAGGGTCCGCATGCCAACAGAGACAGAGAAAT